GGCCTTCTTGGAAATAGGGTTATTGCAGATGTAATTAGTTAAGATGAGGTCATACTGGGGTAGGGTGGGCCCTTCACCCACTATGACTGGTGTCCTCATAAGAAAAGAAGAAAAGACACAGAGGCAGACACAGAGGGAAGACTGTCACGTGACATCAGAGGCAGAGGTCAGAGTGATGCAGCCACAGGTAAGGACACTGAGGCAGCCGGCACCACCAGCAGTGGGAGAGGCAGGAAGGACCCTCCTCGGGAGCCGTCAGAGGGAGCCTGCCCGCGCCCACTCCTGGGTTTCCGACTTCTAGCCTTCAGAGCTGCTGTGCTAGCCTCCTAGGATTGTGGGACTTTGTTACAGCAGCCGTGGGGACTGATGCAGGGCCCCATGATGCTCACAACCAACCCAAAGTCCTTCCTTGGTCTGTGGGTCCTCCGTGACTGCCCGGCTGCCCCTGCCCACTCTCTGACCATCCCCCACACTGCACTGCAGACGCCCTGGCCAGGGCTACCTCTGGCTGCAGGCAGCTCCCCTTTTTCTAACTGGACTCTGTTCTGCTGGGCACCTCCTGAGTGTTTCCTCATCACCTGTCAGAGGAGCTGGACACTTCCCTGACAACCTCCTGGTTTAGCGCTCCTCGTCTGCCCTTCAGGCCACGACTTATTACACATTCCTTGTTCAGAACAGAAATTTCTTGAGAGCAAAACATTGCTGTTTGGCTCACTGAGCATGCCTCGAACAATGCTTGGCACTTAGCAAGCGCTTAAAGCTGCTTTGCTGGTGGAAGGAGCGAATGCATGCACTTTGATTTGCTTACTAGATAACGTCCTTGAGTGACAAGGCACATGGAGTCTGCTGGGAATGTGGGGTCAAGACTGGAGGCCACAAGGACAGGCTCGAGTGTTGGGGGGGCTGCTGGGGCAGCAGAAACCGGGGCTCGTCCTTTGAAGCCGCGGGAAGCAGAGCGGAGGGCTGCGGGGTGGGCGCCGGGCGGGCGGGCAAGGCCTTCCGGACACCCCCAGGTGGGCTTGTCTTTAAGGACAGAGGTGCATGGCCGGGCTGGGCTCGCTGCGTGTGGATGCACCCCACCCCGCTGCACCCGCAAGCTGTCCAGGGCGGCTGTGGGCCTCGGGGTCACAGTTAAAGTCCCTGTGCCTCACGGCCACCTTTCCGGAGAGGAAGACAGAACCTGCAGAGACTGGAGGGCAAGAGCTAGTGCTCCCCAATTAAGGGCCGTCACACTGTGTGGAAACGCCCTCGGGGTACAGGGCGGCCACCGAGAGGACAGAGGGCGGCTTTTGAGCGCCCAGCCTCGTGGTTGCCTCCGGTTTTGCTTTTGTACGGAAACCGGGGCGCAGAGGTGAAGGAGCGTCGCGCTGACAGTCAGGGTTCTGTCCCCCGAAGAGAAATAATCAACAGCGCACCGAGCCAGCGGCAGGTGGACGGGGACGTGCGCGCAGACCGGGGGCCGCGATCGGCAGCGCCAGGAAACACGGGCGGTGCTCCCCCCCCCCCCCCGGGGGGAGGACAGCCCTGCTCCGCCCGCGTTTGTTAAGGGGACGGTGGCCGCCAGGGGGCGCCGAGCGACCGCCATCGTCCCCGGGGCGCGGGGAGGGGCGGACGCGGTCGGCCAGGCAGAGGCAGGCGCTCGGCTTTCGCGCGCACGGGCCGGGCCACGCTGCTCTCTCCTGCCCCGACCTTGCGGGGTGCTGAGCCCCCCTGGGTGAGAAGAACAGGGGCGCCTGACGGCTGCTCCCGGTTCAGGTCCCCTGGCTGTGTCATCCGCCCACTCCCTCGCCCTCATGCTGGGGAGGGGACAAATAAGGGGACAGGTTGGTACTGTGGAAAGAGCTGTGAGCACCAGCGCAGAAGAAAGGGCACCGCTCATTGGGCACTGCCACCCACGGGGAGGGCGCCTGACCCAGCAGGTGCTTCCCGGGGGAGCAGGGCAGTTTTAATTAGGTTGCAAGAAGCGCCATCTAAGCTGAATTTTGAGCACTAAATTTCTGCTAGTACATGCAAGGCTGGCTGTACTGACCTGACCCTGGGGACAGAGCATTCATCCTTCACCCACGGACCAGGCAGAAGCGAGGGCTGGCAAGGAGCCTTCCTGCAGGACTGGCACCAGGACACCTGGGCACCTTCACAAATTCTTCTCATTAAAAGTTTAAAGGATGAAGAGAAAACAAGAGGGTGTAGTGATGCAGGTGGTCATCCAGGGAGCACAGGATGCCCAGCCAAGTAGCTGCCTGGTGGCACCACCAATGGAAAAGGGAATCTGACGGCATTGCCACCAGGCAGCCCGAGCCCTGTGCTAAGCCTGCCTACGCCTCCCCGTCACTCGAGGCAGCTTGGGCTCCTGGCAAGAGCATCGTCTGGCACATTTTCCCATGAACATAGATAGCAGCAAAGCGACATGTGCTCAGCCATCTGATCAGATTCTGGGCACCCTATAGCCACCAGTGAAGTCTTTTAACCCAGTGACACCTCTGCTTCAGGAACACTCGGAGAAGCAGCCCCGTCCCACCTCACCTCTTACACTGAAGCAGGCTTTGCTCCCTGTCGTTGGGACAAGATTGGTCTTGGGGCCTGAAGTTCAAGACCGGGCCTCTCTGCCCACATTCTCCTCATTTCCAAGTGTCTGATGGCTCATCAGAGAGATCCCTACGGGCAGGGTGCTCCTGGCACCAGCACTCGGGCTCGGGAGGAACGGGGCTTGCCCAGCTGCAGGACCAAGCGTCTCACCTTGGCCTTTTAACCAGGCCGGCTCATCCGCACAGCCTGCTCAGGCTCTCAGGAGCAAGCCGCCACATGCATCAGGTCATACCGATGTCCAGGGCCACTGAGGGCGCCTCCCAGGCCTCCAAATAATACAATAAAACAAAACTTAGGGCGGCTTGGCCCCCTCTGGCCCTGGGCTCTGATGCTGGGACACTCTGGGATGTTTCTCTGGAGGTCCCTCCAAGGTGGCACACGCACGTCCCGATTGTCCTCTCAGCTCAGAGGTCCTTTCCCCCTGGACCTCTGGTGCAGGTCACACTGCTCAGTGCCACCTACAGCTCAGGAGATGGGCTTGGTGAGGTCAGGAAAATCTGGTCTGTTTTCTCCAGCATAACCTCCAAGGGTCTCCCTAAAAGGTACGAGGTACCCCTAAGGGAGTTAGGGTAACTCACAGTCAGATTCTCTGAGCGGAGTGAATGACCAGCGATCACTTCCAAATCAGGCTGCCAGGAGCACCACATGCCTACTTAGAGTCCTGAACCTCCAAGTTGGAGGGGACGCGGGTGTCACCTGCCTTCATCAAAGGCCTTCTACACAAATGCTTGTTGAGCTTTGACTCTTTGTGCAATGACCCAAGCTCCACAGCGGGAAGTGCAAAGATGGTCCATACTGCGGGAAATGCAAACACAACACAAGGCAGCCTGCGATACAGGGCAGCAGGGGGAAAACAGCGTGGCGAGGCTGAGAGAACATAGAGTGCCAGCTTTGCTAAGAAGATTATTGACAACTTTGGAAGCTACGGCACCTCCTTTGGGTCTGGGAGGATGGAAACGCTTTGGAGAGAGACAAGAGCAGCCGAGCTCGGGCCCACGAAGGGGAGAAGCCGGCGTCCAGGAGAAATGCTGAACAGTTCAGCTCGGCTGAGGTGGGCGTGAGGTGAACGCAGCAGCTGGGACTAAATCGCAAAGGGCCCGGAAAGTCATGGTCAGGCGTGCAGGGGCGCGCTTTAGATGGGCGAGAACCCTGACAGGGCTTTGAGCTGCAGGACGAGTCTCAGTCCTGTGTCGAGGGGAAGGGCTGGTGTCCTGCGGGGACAGGAAGTTAGGAAACAAGGAGGAGAACAGGGCCGTGGTTCCAGGAATGGGCCCAAAGGGACTGATGAAGAGCTGAGCCGGTGGCGGTGGAGAGAGACGGTACCACGCAGCTGAGGGCCTGCAGAGCCTGGGTGGTGGGGGAGGTGCTACCAGTCACCGAAGCTGTGAATCAAGGGCAGACCCTCACAGGCGGGCAAGCGACATCTGAGAAGCCATTAACGCGAAGCAGTAGAAATTTTATATTTGTTTGATCAACATCTGTCTCCTCGCTTGGCTGAAAACTGACCCCAGGAAGAAAGGACTACGTCCGTATTCGCTCACCATTAGATCTGCAGCATAACTATGAAATGAGCAAATGAATGGAGGCGTGAGCGCAGGGGCCAGGGTTTGGCTAGGATTTCACGGAGAGGCCCAGAATGGGTTAAGGATTCTTTGGATTTATGATACATTTTCTTCACTCAACAGACATTCATTAAGCGCCTACTCGTGTTACATCCTAGACACTGGAAAGCGTAAGGTCTGGTGTGGAAGATATTCATGCAACAAATAAATATAATGAAGTGTATGTTACATTGGCTCTGAGGACAGTCTGGAAGATTGATGAATGGGTGCTGAGATGCAGGAGGCATTCAAGGTTGAGGAAACGTGTGAGCAAAGGGTCAGGGAAAGAGCATCCTTGAGAGGGGGCTGGCGGTCTCCCGGAGGGCCCTACGCTGGACTAGGAACTTCACTCATCCGACACGGGAGCCGCTGCAGGGTTGTACACGGGAGTCTGGCCTGACAGGACTTCACTTTGGGGCCAGAGGAATGCCAGCCAGGGCTGACCCTCAGACAGGTGGGACTTGCTGAGGACACGCAGGGGGTGCCACCTTCACGGGACATGTAGAAAGAAGCCGTGGAGAAGAGCACAGGCTGAGGAGGAAAGTGGGCGATGGAGGCATTCTTGGGGTTAGAGAAGAAAAGAGAAAAACACAGGGGACATTGGGCAGAGGGTGCCAGAGGGCGCAAGGTGACGTGGAAAGAAAGGGTGCTGAAAAAGAGACAGCGGACAGCATTACTGGTGGCTCCCCAGCCATTAAAGACAATGAGGAATGGAAAAGATGGTTGATGAACGTAGGTCCTGATTGCAAGATGGGCCTAGAACACGTAACAAACAGGCCGTATGTCCCATGTCATCGCATCAGGAGTCTTACATGTCGTCACCTTTTTATTAGACTTCTGATGGTCTACATGCTAAATCACTTATTTGATGACTTGTGTGTGTGATCTAGGTGAGTATTTAGAATGAGTGTATTTGGACAGGAGGTAAGTTCATAATATAATTACATTTATTTAGGAACTCACACTCTGTGAGTTTAAAGAAACAGACTCTAGTTGGGCTGTGTCACTCACTGACCCTGGGAAGTAGTCAGGTGCCGTGTCTGGACATCAGTTTACCCTTTGTGAAATCATGGTATTGGAATTCATTATTTTAAACAGACTTCCAACGCTGACAACAACAGCAAAAACAAGTGGAAGTTAATTGATTCTGAGATGCTAAGCAGGTTCCAACGGGCTGATTGTACCCTAAACTTTTTTCTTTTGTATCTAAAATTAACTGATTTTTTTCATGCATACTCTTGGTCTCTACTGATGAGATGGTGGACTGAGAATTTGATAGAATAGAAAAAATACTACATAAAAAAACCCATATTACATCTTTCAAATGGCCACGAATTGCTAAGATAGTTGTAAAGGATCAACTGTAAACACGGAGGCAGCTTCAGATAAAACTCTTGCTGAGGCCCAGCTCGTCTGCCATGGAGTTTGCTGCTTTCACATTTTTGTCTGTGTTTCTGCTTCCTCTGCTGCTTTTGTCAGTCCTACAGCAAGCGGCGTGGTCAGGTTCTTGGACTCCAGGTACTCCACGATTCCGTACGCCACCATGGTCAGACACAGGACCCCCAGGAGAATGTAGAGCTTGACATGGACGCACAAAAATGTGCTATACCCAAACGCGATGATGAAACCCAGGGCTTCCCACAGGCGGTAGTTGGCAAAAGCAGCCTCCTTGTTCTTCTCAAACAGAACGCCGTACAGAACTGCGGGGAGAGACAGAACAGAAATGTTACCGGAAATAACTGACGGGAGAGACGGAAGGGAAATGTTCCCGGACAGCCTCTGACGAGTCTTTTAATTATCGCTAAAAGTAGCTGAGCCACTGCCCAGTGTTCTCGGCGAGATCAGGACCTTTTTCTTTTCAGGAAACAGAATAACCTTATGCTGTGCATTATAGCATAAATTGGTGACATTCCTCACAGTGAAGAAGCATCCTATGTATAAGAAACAGGATTCATGAAATGTTAGCACTGGTGGGCCCCGTGTGCAGTGACCGCCCCGCCTGTGACTTTTCTGTTCTCCGTGGCCACCATGTCACCGACGTCCTCAGTGCTCTCCCTCCATTCTCACAGCACGGGTACAGCCCTTTCACACTTTTCACACCACTCACTGGTTTTTCTCCATCTGTCCTCTCATAGACTGTGGACTCCCTGAGGCAAGGCCCATTTTTATCTAGAATGATAATTCCAGCAGAAATACTTATGAAATGACTAAGTGGGTGACTAGATTGACGGTGACTTCAGGAAGCGGGTAGTGTGACTGCACAAGAATTTCACTTCTCACTTTAATCCAAGCCCCCTTTGTTTAGCCTGAAAGGCCTCTGACTCAGCTGCGTTCTTTCCCCAGACCCCCCTGCTGGCACATCCACTGTGTGTCTGCTCCTTCTAATCACTAAGCCCTTAGGACGCTGGGCTCTGCTCAGTGTCAAACTCTCTAAGAGTAAAGCTTCAGGTCTATCAGCCATGACCAGGATACAATAACCAAACTAGAATAGGTTTTTGTCAAACAAAGCTAAGACCTTGGCCTCAGTTATGTGTCAGCAGAACAGCCCCACGGATGGCACCCCCTGGGAACCGGACTGAACAACACCATGACTGACACCGGGGCCTGGTGACTAACTGCCCCCTGCTTAGCCCCGACCAACCTGTAGAGCCAGGGACCCCAGCTCCCACTGTAACCGTGGTTAATGATGGTTCCCTTATATAACTGAGTCACTGGAGGCCATCGGGGAGCCAGGGTTTTGAGAGCACTAGCTCACCTGTGTCCCCGGGTTTGGTGCCAACACCTCAAATACACTTATTTCCTTTGCTGCAAACGTCTGCTCATGTCTGGTTTGGCTCGGATGTTGCGGGCAAGTGGACCGTTTGAGTCTGAGGTGACAGGAGAGCACCAACAGGTAAAGCACCAAGCCCATGTCCTTCAAGGTCACCACTTAGTCAGACCTAACATCCCTTTTCAAAGGTTTGGATGCAAAAGGCGTTGGATGGGAATGACCTCACAGGGTGATCTGATTATAAATTCCTAACTGGGCAGGTCATGGTGGGCAGTCACGCCCCAGGCCTGTAACATGTTAGTGAAAGCTTATGTTTGCTGTAAGCCAGCCCTGTCTACTGTTTCTGTGAATCCCCGTTAACACACCTTTGAAATGCCATAAGTAACACCGCTCAAAGGGGGTATTAACCATCAGAGGAAGCACAGAATCTTGTTAACTAGCCTGTAATCCAGTCCCCGCCTCACTTCCTCCCATCCTTGTGTCATCTTCCTTATTTTGCTCCTTAATTCCAAATGCATAAAAGAAGCTGCCAAACTGGCATTCTTGGAAGTTTTGAGGTCTTGCTCTTGGCATATGTCATCAGTTTGGTTCAGAGAAACTCATAAAAATTCTCTACAGGTTTGGATGTTTCTTATGTCAACAAAGGGTAAATAATCCACTGATACAGTGGTGCAATTCCAGGGGGCACAGCTGCCCTTTCCTGATCTCCCCCTTCTGTTATAGCCCAAAAGCCCACCCCAGGGAGGGAGTCGAAGTACTACGGGACATGCGACCCCAGATATCAGGGGACAGACAGGCAAAGGCACCGCCTTTGCATGTGAGTGAGACGATAAGCAAACCACAATGTCAAGTGCGGGCCTCCAGCGTGGGGCAGGAGGGACAGACAGCCCTGTGCCCTCAGGTGAGCGGGGCCAGGTACCTTCTGCACCATGGGGGCCGTTAATCCTGGGGGCAGCTGACTTCTGCAGCGTTGTGAAGATTTTCTTAGAGCTGTGCTCCCTGCAGGCCAGGCAGTTGCAGGGGAGCTGATGATGGACTTCCGTACACACGTTCTTTTTTCAGCTTTCACTCTGTTCCTTTCACTTTGCCCTTTTCCTTTTTCCTGCTTCAAAGGGCAGTGGGGAGGGTGGTAAGGGTGACAGGCCCCGCCAGCGCCAGCATGGGGAGGAAGGCTCGAGGCCAGCAGCGCGTCCTCCTGGAACTCCTCTTGGAAACGTCAACTCCCAGAAGACGCCTGTTGGCATCTGGTTACTCAACTGTTCATCCCCTGTGGGAGGGACTCAGGAGGGCGAGGCAGGCAGGTAGATCTGATATCAGATAAGATGCACGTTTTCAACAACGTGTGTGTGTTTGGGAAAACAAGAGTCTGTTGGGAGCACTGGAAGAAAGTGCCCGCCCTGCCTGAGAGTCTGCAAAGTGTTCCGCTAAGGAAAGGAACCGTGCAAAGAGAATCCAGTAACAACAGGGGGCGTTCGCCAGCTCCTGGGGTTATTCTCGAGACCTCCTGTCTCTCTTTGGAGGGAGGCTCTGAAAATTGGGTCCCAAAATTAGGTGCTAGAGAGGAAAGTCGTCAGGAGACATATGGATGGATATGCGTCGGGGATTCTCCCACATTCTGTGGCACTCAGGCCCCACTGCCCCGGCAGGCTGTGGTGCGAGCAAGTGCTCTCGACTTCGTGAATGTCCCGGCAGTGGGCAACTTGAAGCCAGTAGTTTCGCTCTATACGTCAGTGTCGTTGGGGGATTTAATTTAGATGGTGGTGATTACAAATCACTGTGCTCCAGGATAAGGGGACTCTCGCCGTGTTCTCTCTCGATCAGTTCAAGTCCAGTTCAGCCTCTTACGTAGCCACGTGCTCCAAAGCTTCCTGAGTCTTTTCATCAACATAAGCTTTCCGGGCCTCCATAGCCTTCTCTGCTAAGTGAAGAACTTGACTTCTCTGAGTCTGATTCTGGAATTGACCTCTCGTGAGGCGACCCACCAGCAGGAAAGAGATCAGAATGTCTGCTGGCTCACACCCTCGTGTTCAAAATAACCTCAGCGAGCTTGGGAGGCAGAGGAACCCCTCAGGACGGGAGGACTGGGAACCCAGAGGTTGGTGGGAAAGCCAGCTGTGCCTCTGGCTGTGCAGCAGAGCTGACGAGACTGAAGAAGACGCGTGGTCGCTGGGTAAGAGCTGTAGCCTTTCCCCTTCCTCCTTCCTAAGCATGGCTCTGACCAAAGAAGCTGGGGCCGAGACAGCAGAAGGAGAAGCCAAAGGACCCTGACGTCAGCAGCCAGAACTGCCTTTAAGAAAAGGAAGAGAAAGGAATCGGGGGGAAATCCATCCACCCCATTTGGGAAGATGCACGAATGACATGAGACCCAGCCTGCAGGAGACGGCAGAGCCAGTCATGGCTGATCACTGATGCCGTGAACCTGGATCGCTGCTTCAACCTTAAACAAAGTCAGGCTTTTCAGGAAATTACTCATGATCTGGCTCCTATTTTAACCCAAGCATCAAGAAAGCAACACATAGCTGTGTCAAATTCCAGCAGTTAATTATTAATAGAGGGGCAGAGGGGAAAGACATGAAAAGTACGCCGAAAACAGCATTTCCACATTCCTGAAGTTACTTTACATGTTTACTGAGATTGATCAGGTACATAAACGTGGTGTGCGTGGTGGGAGCCAGGTTCCTCGCCGGCAGAGGAGGAAGTGATAGAACGGCACGCGGGGCAAAGAATGAGCCCCAGGCTCCTGGAGTGGAGGTGAGCCCGAGCCGTCAGACGGAACGCATCCTTATTCAGCACGCACACAGAGAGGCAGACGAGAAACACACAGATGTGTGTGCAAATGTGGGTCAGGTCTCCTCACACTGTCCACTGAACGGGCCGAGGGGCAAAGTCACTCAGTAGCACTGAGCACACCCAGCACGCAAATGTTGGTTTCTGACACCATTCTCCAGGAAAATGAACCCGGCGCCTTGGGGAAATGGCTGATTCCAGGGCTGGCACAGGAAAACTACAGGATGGGCCTGGGGTAGTTTGTAGTGTAAGAAAGTAAGGAAGTCCTTTAAAAAAATAGACGAGGCATGTCAGAGGACACAGGTGCCAACGTGAAAGGGCTCCCAACGGCCAGAGCTGGAACAATCAAAACAACCGGATGTACAGGCGGTCGGATTGTAACCAAAGGATACAGTCAATACACTGCATTCCATGGTGCGTAGGTGAATGGCTGAGCCACTAACTAAATACAGTGGAGGAAGGGACACATATTCCTTATGAAGAATTACACATAATTTATGTGCACACCCCCTTCAAGGAGACAGATTAGTTGCTTCCCCTGGTTGTTGGCTAGACGTGGTGATGGAAAGGATGAGCAGCAGCTCTGAGTTGGGGCGTCTGGGAGATGCCCAGGCAACCAGTGACCAAGGTCCACGCCACCAGGGGTCAGTCATGTGCTGTAAGAATCCCCTGACTGATGTGATGAGAAAGGCACTTCCCTCTGGGGTCTTTCTCCCCCAAACCGTAACCCCAGCCTAATCATGAGAAAACATCAGACTAACCCAAATTAAGGGACAATCTACAAACTGCCTGACCAGTATTCTTCAAAAGTGTCAAGGTCAAGAAAAAGAACAGAAAAATGAGGAATTGTCACAGGCCAAAGGAGATGTAATGACTAACGCTACGTGGTGCCCTGGATGGGATCCTGGGGACAAAAAAGACAGCCGTGAAAAAACTGAAGTTTAGTTCAGTCATGAACCCACGTTAATTCTTAGTTCTGACAAATGGACCAGGTTTTGTAAGATGCTGGCTATGGGGAAACTGAGTGGATGGGGAGGGTTTACACGGGCTTTGCAACTTTCCTGTAAATGTGAAATTATTCCAGAATAAAAAGCTTATGTAAAAAGAAAGCAAGCCTCGCTCTCAGCCTGACCTGCCTGCCTCATCTTCCCGGGGAAGACACCAGGTGCGACTCCTGTCCTCGGATGAGGGGATGTGGACACGTGGTCAGGCAGCCTTGTTTGGTTAGAAAACACAAGTTAAATGAACTGGACATGTAGAGAAGTCAGGTTTTCCAAGCTTATCAAACCGATAACAGCCTCTTTGGTGGCTAACAGCACAAGAGCATGTTTAGACCAGACATTCTGAGTCTTAAATGCAGCTCATTGGCTTGTAAGCGTTGCCACAGCAACGGCACTCTTCTTTCATGAACTGTCAGGGCAAATAAACAGGCAGGAGTGACTGGCCAGATTGACTGCTCCAAAGGCTGGAGGCACCCCGGAGCCCAGCGGCGAGTCGCACAGTTTCTGCCCCGGGACCAGGGGCTCGGGAGGTTCATCTGACCTGCTTCTGAGTTGGACTTTAAGGATCAGTGTTTAAACTGAGACAGGATGAGAGGAAAAAAGGGTCGAATGGCACTGAAGTATACTCAGTCTCATTCATCAGGAAAGTACGTGGCTCACGTGTTTTCTTAAAAGAGAGACACAGTCAGAATAGGATTAGAAATCCAATTTGCTATTAAAAAATTAAAAAACAAGAATGAGAGAGCAGCTCTTGGGAGGTGGCAAAACCTACACAAAATTTTCAGCTTTAAAAAATACAGAGAGCGTACGGACAGGCCACCCTGCAGGGTGGCAGGTCCTGGGAGGCCCCGGTGGTGCTAGCCGCCTGGAGTCACGCCACCTAAGGCAACGTGAGTGGAGGCTCCGAAGCGAATGCTCAGACATGCGAGAATAACAATTTCCCCCAACAACCGATTTTTCCTTGAAAATAAATTACTTTTCATCTGTATGAAAAGACAGAAATAATTCATTGTAAACGAGCACCCCTTCTTCAAGGGGGGTCTCTGGAAGTCGTTTATTGGACCTCATGTCTCTTTGCACCATCTTGACAAAGGCTTTGAGTGACAGTCTCTCACGTCCGTGAGAAGACAGGGAGAGTTAGAGCAATCATCCCTAGATCTCAGGGAAGAAAACCAACCATTTTTATTGCAGTTATTTGAAACATCGAGAGAATTATTGTATAGAGTATGTGTGGCTTCTTACCCTAGTCCTTCACCTGACTTTTACGTGTAAATACTTTTGAATTCAAGTGACTTTAGAGACACCAGCTAACATCTTAGGATGCAAGATGGCGCATGCGTTTGGGTATTCAGTAAACACTGGGAGTCTTTCACACCCATGGAGATGTTGAAAGAAACCGTCTCCGGATGCTCAGTGGGTAAGGCGTGTGGATTCCTCAGGCGACACGGCCTGCCTGTCGCTAGTTTGTGATTCCGGACTGCCAAGGGAAGCTGAGTTTCTGTTTATCTCACCTCCCCTGACTCACGCTTCTGCTGTTGAGCAATACTGAAGCTGCGTCCGTGAGAAGTTTCAGTCATTCCTTCCGAGTGTTGACCTTGATGCAGACACGCCAGATTACAGCACCGAGCCAAACACGCTTGTCTCCTGGATCAGAACCTCACAGGAGCCACCTGCACTACTGAGCCAGTAGAAACGATTGTGAAACCCAAACTCTTAAAACCCAACAGCATGAGGTCTGTTCAGAGATGTTTTCACAGCTGTTCTAAGCTGGCAAAGAACGAACGAAGCCCCTAAGGAAGGGGCCGCCGTGGGGGGAGGTCATGTGCGCCAGCTGTCCCTGGTGGAGGGACAGCAGGCAGGCCTCCCGTCCCTGGAAACGCTGGCTTGTGGCCTGTTTGGGGATTGGCCCAACCCAGTTTCTAGTCCCCAGGTGTTTCCTGGATGAGGGCTGAACGGTGATGTCTACAAGGGAAGAGGCTGTCTTCTGAGCCAAGTCCAGCTCCGAGGGGCCCCACGCGTCTCACCGATCTGCAGACGGGCAGATGCACAGCTGGCTGTCTCCCAGGGCCTCCAACAGCCCCCCAACCCCGCTGCGTGCCAGGCCATGCAGGGAACTGTGGGGAACTCAGGAATAAGGGTGCCCACCCTAAACCCTCCCCTGTCATTTTCAATCATCACCCAAATGTAGCCCTGTAGTCACCTGTCCTCTACTGCTGTCACTCTCTCTGCTTCCTCCTGTCTCCTAACGGCCTCCTGCCGAAACCCTCTCAGCTACAGCTCATCTCATAGAAAACAGAACTGCCTGAAGGTGCTGCACTGGCACTCCAGTCACCTGGGTAACGCTGACTCCCACGTCCGGCCCTCCATGCCAGCTGCCCCAGCCTCACTGCTCCAGGCCTCGTGTGGCACCCCTCTTCCTGGTCCTGACCACTCATGTTCCCCTCCACGACCTGTCCCTACTTTCCTGCTCAGCACGGGTGACTGTGGCCTCCATCCCACAGCCAGTCCGCCCTGCTCAGCCGGCAGCTCCCGCCACACTCCCTGTGGGCCTTCGCCTCCACCCTGAGCCTCAGGTTCCAACGTCCCGCATCGCAGCTCTGGCCCTCTCACCTCTTTGATGCCACCAGCCGCCCCCTCTCACCGTCCTCCTGTGTCACCGGATCACCCCCAAGTCCCACAAGTCACCGGGTCACCCACGTCAAGCCTGCCATCTCCCCGCCCTGCCCCACCTCTGCTCTGGTGGGCGGCTGAGCACCGAGGCGCCAGGCCGCGGGAGCTCCACTGTCACTGGCCTGAACGCGGGCCCTTCCCGCGCCCTCCGAAGCTGTG